GAGACCTGAAAGATGGCTGGATTGAGACCTGAAGGATGTGTCCATTACACCCTTCTGGGGGTTGGGGTGGGGTGCAGTGGGGGAGGGGCACTACAGTCCAGAGCTTTCCACACCTGTGCAAAGGTCTGGAGGAAAAGAGATCTCAGTCCAGGAACCTGACAGCAGGAACACAGGTCTAAGGTGGGAGAGGGCAACAACACCCTGGGACCCAGAGAGATGCGAGGCACGCACAGCAGAGAAGCCACTGAGCTACTCGAGCCTGCAATTGGGACGGGCTGGCCATCTGCAACTGTGCCACCACACGCTGAGCTCACTCAGCTGACTTCACCGGCCTTGTCCACATGCCACAAGTCCACAAAACCCACAAGGTGGGTTTTAGCTAACAGACTGCTCTCTGTTCTGCCTTCTACATTTATCTCCCTCCAAAAAAAAGAGTATTTAGTACTCTTTACTTTCTTTTATTTATAAAATAGCAGAAATAAAATTCTATCCAAAGCCTTTCATGATAAATGATGGTTTTGAGGCTGAAATTCCAAGATTCTCAAGTACCTTCTGCATTACTGAAAGGCCAGTTATTCTCTGCTTGCTAGTTACATGCAATTTTATCAGCAGTCTTGTTCTAACATGGGAGCTCTGTGGCAGAGCACCCAGTCAACTGGCCCAGTACATCACCCCCACCTTCTGGAAGAACAGGCAGCCATGCCTTTAAATGAGGCCAAGGAAACAGAAGTCCTTGCTGGGTCCCCAAGGAAATCAATGATAAATGATACCTTGAACAGGTGTGCAATTAATTATATTTTAAGAACTACCTTCAAATAAGACTCTTGTCCTTCTCACAGATTCCAGTAAACAGTATGGGGATTTTGTTTGTGTTTAGGCAGGACTGAAGAGCTACCAGGGCCCATGAGGTCACTAAGGCTCCAACCCACCAGCAAAACCAGTGAATGAACCCGTAAAGAGTGGCTTCAGAAAAGTGCCCGTACTCAAAAAGCTTTTTAGGTCCTTACAGCTTTAAGAATTAGGTATGTTTAAAGCTAGAGATAAAACTGAAGCTTAAGACTTCAGTTAGGTAGTAGGCAAAAAGCATGACAATTAAAAAAGACTTGCTCTTTTTCCAGTTGGAAAGGTACACGCAGGCATTGCTCACAGCCACCTCTACCTTTTCTTAACCCTAACCCAGCCCGAGGAGGGTCTGGAGATCTTGGTGCAGGAAGGGCCTCACTCCGCTCCACATTACTGTGCTGCCCGGGAGGCAGCTTCCCCTCCACTCTGGCAACAGAACTCTTTCCCATTCCCCATCAGAAATTCAGCGCACATACAGCTGGTTTGTTATCAAACTCTGAACAGCCAGAAAAGAAACATAAAAACACTTTGGGAGATGAATGTCACCCAACAAAAGCTAACAGTTCCACAGAAAAGTGAACTTTATGATAGTGCAGTAATTTTTGCCCTTAAGCATGCTTATAATTCTGGGAGTTTTAAGTAAAAATAGTTTAGATGACTGCTGTAAATACAAATAAAACCATTAAGATTGTATAATGGGGATTAGGATTTTCAAAGGGTGGTCCCTGAACCAGTAGCATCAACACTATCAACTAAGGTGCTAGAAATGCAAACTCTCAGACAGCAGACTTCCTGACCTAATGATGTGTGACAAGATGAAGATGTTAATATCTAAGTCCTGCTGTAGGACATAGTACAGAGGAAAACTGCTTCCTTAACTCCGGGCTGATGCTATCCCAAGAGTCTCCTCTACAGACTTGATCCTAGCTGTCACCCGTCCCTTTCTGAATAACCTTTCCAGGAACAGGGGGTGTAGCAACAGGAAAAATGAAAATACTGACAACTTACATAGCTTCCCAGAAATTCAGTCACGGATTATTCTGAATTGTAGTACAGCTTTCTAACCATATCCACAGAACATGTGTGCACAAGTATATAAGACTTATGATGAGCACAGAGAAGGCAGGTAGGAATTCTGAATTTTCTGGATCTAAGAAGCTATGGATTATCAGGAGTTGGAATGATAATTAAATATGGAGAATAAGAAATGATACTGGTTTGTCTTCAGATGATGCCAATTATTGAGAGAGGAGAGCATGGAGGAAGAGAAATGGGTAAGAAGGTGGAGCAAACAGATTCAGGACAGGAAGGAGATTCCAAACAGGACAAGTCCGAGAGTCACCCAGAGTCTCAAACACCCAGAGCTTCAATGACCCTGGCTCTCACAGGATGCAGTGGTGTTTGTTTGTTTTTCTGAAATATGCACCTCTCTCCAGGCAAAACACAAATTTCCTAGGACTCAGAGTTGGGTATATTTTCATTTTTCAAGATACAAAAAGTTAAATATTTCAAATTGTAAAAATATCATCAAGCAAGAGTCTAGCTTATTATATTGGAATCACTCAGGATAGCTTAAACAATGATACACATCTTGAAGACGCACTCTAAAAAAGCTACTGGGCTCATTTTAAAAAAGTCAGGCATCCTGTGGTAACCTCAACGGTTGGGAAGTCCCAGGCCTGAAGACTGCGAGAGAGAAAAAGGAAATGAAATGAAGGTGCTTCTGGGTCCTGCGGGAAGGCTGGCCCATCCCCCCATCCGAGGATGGGCTACGTTTGCACGATCCTGGTGATGTCTTAGAAAGCCCGGCTCTCATCAGAAATGCCAGAACAGGCAGGAAAAAAGACAAAGGTGGCAAAGAAAGGAGATGGGGAGCCACTGGGCAGAGGAGGGTGGGAAAGGAATAGCAATGGGTGTGTCTCCTTGTCCATCCAGACAGCTCCTCCATAGCCATAGATGGCCGCGGATGTAACGCCAGGCAAGAGCAAGCGCACAGCAGTGATGGGCTGGTTCTGCTGTCAGGAGAAAGGCAGCGCAGTCCTCGGAGAACCCCAGGGGCATCCCTCTGGCACAGGGCAGGCACACTAACAGGACAAGCCACATGTCACAGCACGATCTATCAAGATAAGCAGCCCGGCGCACCATCAGGCCACCTGGCAGTCTTCAGACCAAGGCAGTGCCACCACTGGGGCAGAGCTGACACACACCCCAGTGAGCCTTCCTGCCACCATGCCCCGGGTCCAAAGCCCCAGCACACTGTCAGCGTGTCATAGCTCATTTTCTAAATTAAGCAGAATGCAAAAAAATCTGGAAAACCTCCCATAAAAATGATTAAAATAAAATGTAAAAATGTTTCAATTACATAGAAAGTTAGCTTATTCTCTAACAATGTGAGACACACAAGACACTGGCACTCATTCAAGTTCTGAGATGGAACCCAGATAACACAAGCATCCCTCCCTCTGAAAGGATGTGGTCTCAAAGTTTGGATGGTGACGGTTGCCTGCATGTGCCTGTCCCATGCAAAGCTATAGGTTCTCTGTAAGGCCAGCAACCTGGAGGGCACTGTTCTCTTCTGTCCTCCTTCTAAGGACTTTCTCCTTCCCCAGTCCTTGCCAGCAAGAACAATGAGTGGGCCTCATGTCTCCACGCTCTGGGCTGCTTTGCATCCTCTCTATTCTAATTAGTCTCTTCAAATCCAACATTTCTAAATCAAGCTTATACCTCTGACTCCCAATTCTTAAGCACTCTGGACCAGTCACTTTATACTGTAATTGGGTTCCCAGTGCCTACCCTCAGTTTCTGCTCAGAAGAGTTAACAGGGCTGCTGTACTGAATTCTCTTAAGCCTCCAACATGATGTAAAGGAACTTATGCCCAGGACTTATGTCATGCAAGGACAATTTAATGTGATGTCTTGCCAGGAATGATCAACTCTGGCAGCTGGGTAAGAAAATCTGAGAATTCAGACTTAACTTGTAGTTAAGAGTCAGGCCCCTGTGCTTGCCCAGGCATATCGAAGGTAGCCACCAACCCCACGAGCTGCTGACACCATAAAGGGTCTGGTTTCCACCACCACGATGCTCCTCCTGCCTCAAAGAACAGATCACCAGCACCTCTGTCTCTGAAGAGCAAAAACATTTCTGTGGCCTTGAATTCCTCTCCAATCTATCAACATGAGTCTTGAATATGCACTCACGGTGGTACAACCTTTTCAGAGGACTACAACCACAGCACTGGGTACACACTTACTAGTTCGTGCAGCTGGTTTGCATTTAGAAAATGAAACTGCAGCCTGCCAGACAAATGCCATGTAATGACAATGGACTCTACTCAGAGAACTCTCGTTTTGGTACGGATGGTGGGGTCCTCACTGCACAGAAGGTGAATTGCAAAGAGATCTACAAAGCAGGTAGAGTATTTCCACAATGCACACACAAAAAGGCCTTGTGTGATACCAGCCCCATTCCTCACAACGGGCTCATCCACGTACTGGAAATACAAACCCGATTTGTCTGCTACTGGAGATGGATCTGCTCCGAGTCAAGTGGCCTCAGGGCCAATTCAGTTCACACACAGTCATCCCTCTCAAGAACTGTCTTTTTCTTTCCAATTCTGTCCTTAAGTGCTCTGAAAGTTCTTCAGAGAACTCGGCGGTACTGCCTGTGGATTCCTTAGGATTCCATGGTTCATAAAGAAAAACCAACCAGCAAAAGGCTGTCAGAAACCAAGTGCCAAGCCTAGGACCCAGGGAGGAAACAGAGCCAACCCCCAGAGCCCAGGCACAGTCACTGACAGAACGGGAGACTGGGAGTTTGAGTCTATAGGGCAGAAACGGGGTATCTCAGCAGAGACAAAGTCCCCTTCACCAGCTGAACAGCACTGCACTTACCCTCCCACCCGCGGTGCGCCTGCCCGAGAACAGGCAACGGCTGTCCATGGGGACTCACGACATGAAAGCTGATCAGCAACCTCACACAGGTTACACAGACCAATGACTTCTTCTCTCCCAGGAGCCCCAAATATTCTGCTCTCTGGAACGGGAGTGATGCAGCACAGCCACACTAAGCAACCTGCACATGTGCACATTCTCCTGGACCACGCCCCTCCCCCCCCATTCCACCCCCGCGCAGGCCCTGGCGACTCCGGGGCACTTACCGAAGACTCGCTGTCCCTAATGAGGAAGTCGCCCTCCACGCCCCGCTCGTTGAGGGCGCACTCGGCCTGGTGGCGTGTCACGTTCCCGTAGTACCACTCACGCCCCGCGAAGCGCCCGGTGCACGCAGGCCCCGCGTAGCTTATCTGCGGCGTGTGCGAGGGCTGCAGGGAAGGCCCATCACTTAGGACCACCACGTAGTTTTTTGGGACAAGGCCGACCTGCCCCCGGGCGTTTTTGCACTTCCACCACTCGGGGTCGTTCTCCGGCTTCTCGATGACCTCCATGGTCTCGCCCTTCTCGAAGTTAAGCTCCTCCTCCGTGACCGAGCTGAAGGGGTACAGTGTCTGCACCACGTGCAGCACCCGTGCGCCCTGGCCATTGCTCAGAGAGGCGCCCTTCCGCAGGCTCAAGAAGCTGGGGGACTCAGCCGCCGCCTCGTCTGCCTCCTCCAGGACGTAGTTGGAAGGGAACCAGCCGATCTGCCCGTTGTAGCTGCCGCGCCACCAGCCGTCGCTGCACTTCTCCATGACAGTGACACGCGACCCCTTCACCAGGGACAGCTCGTCCTCCCGCTCGGCCACATAGGCGAACTTGACAAAGGCCGGGATGTTGAGGTCGTAGATGCGGTCGGCGCCACCCCCGTTGGCGGGGTACTCGGCGTCAGTGCTGGGCGTAGGGGATGCGTCCCGAGCGCTCGTCTTTCTCTTGGTCTTGCCGAGGCCTGCGGAGACACACAAGGGCTCAGTGGGCGCGGGGGCCACGGAGACACTCAAGGGCTCAGCGGGCACGGGGGCCACGGAGAAGCTCAAGGGCTCAGCGGGCGCGGGGGCCACAGAGACGCTCAAGGACTCAGTGGGGTGGGGGGCTCGTGGGGCACACAAGAACTTAGTGGGTGCCGGGGACATGGAGACACAAGGGCTCAGCGGGTGCAGAGCACGGTGGAGACACAAGGGCTCAGCTGGAGAAGAGCGCCTGGAGATACCCAGGGCTCCAGGCTTGCAGAGAGGGAGCATGGCAAGGGGGGCATGCTGCCCCCCAGTGCGGTGAGAGGCACCAGCACGGCTCTGATGCCGGGGAAACATCCACCCTCGTTACAAACCAGTCGCCATCAGAGCAGTACAGTGTTAACAGCTGGGGTCTGTAGCTACGGAGTGTGAAAAGCAGAAAAGTACTGAAACTGACCTTTCTCCTTTACTTTTTAAAAAATGCCAGAGTACAGCAGGACGAAAAGAGCAAAGTGGCAAGCTGGCTTCCTTCTGAAAGGATGATACTTTTTGGAGAACTCCTGTGCCATCTTGAGAGTAAAATAAGGTATAAAGGCATAGACAAAATGCCTTCTGGCTTCTTCTATGGGGTGGGAAGCTGGCTATGAACTAAGAGGACCTGTTACCCTCTAAGACCCTTCAAGGCTGGGCTCCAGAGCTCGCCTCCTGCTGACCTGCTGGGGCTGGACTCCCTCAGGCCAGCCCACATCCCCCTCCAGTCCTGGCACATGCAGGCTCACCCAGGGCTGCCTGGAGCACAGTGGCCCCCAGGGCAGAAACAGATACCTGTCCCTTCCTTTTCTTCATAACTACTTTATTCTCACAACAGGTTGTGATGAATGATCAGAAAAAATCAGGTCCTGCGATAAGTCTAAGAATTTCTTATATTGTGATTTAAAACCCACTAGTGGACCATCAAATCAATTTACTGGGCTGTGACCAGCATGTAGGTATATTGGGTTGTTTTTTTTATGTAATAAAATAGAAAATCTCAAAATGCATCAAACACGGTGTCATTGCTTCAGTTAGTGAGTGATGAGCTGTAACGGAAACTTCTTCCTGTGCATGTGGAAAAAGTTTGAGTAGCCCTACAGTAAAAATGCTTTACCTCGGTTAAAATGCAACAAATCGTGGAACCTTCTCAAGAAGTGAGCCTTGAGTAGGAAGGCATGTCATTCCCAGAGCTGGGGTGTGCCTCTAGGCAGGTAGGGCGGGCCGTGCTCCTCAGTTTTCCTACTAGATGGCTGCTGGCCCACCAGCACTGCATTACCTCCTTCAGCAATTTGCAGATTTTGCTGGTATGGAAACTGTGGCCACTTGCAGATTTTTTTCCCCCAAAAAATGACACCAAAGCACTTTTATGGGTAACTTGTACTTTTTATTCCTTAAACTAGAGTAAGCACAGAGCAATCCTAAGAATCACCTTTGCTTCTACCCCCTTGTGAGCAGGCAGGCCAAGAGGAATAAAATGTTGCCCTGTCATCAGCCTCTGCTGGGGCCTGCTGGGCACTGCCTTCCAGAGCAGCCCCAGTCCACATCTAACACTCTGCCGCCCTGGAACACGAGCCCCGCTCAGCACCACTAGCAGAGCAAGGCAGATGGCCAGACCCTTGCATAGCATGGAGGAGTTGACAGCACACTGGGAAGTGGTCATCTATGCAGGTTTTCACATGAACACATCAATTTTTAAGCCAGTGGTTCCTGCCATTTCTTTTTATATACCACAGCATTTCATGCAGATGCATGGGAAATATAAGAGTAAGCCGGGATATTAGACCAAGTTAAAAATTTAGATTTCTATTTAAGATTTAATTTGCTTTCACGAAAACATAAACTTCTAAATCTTAGACCTAATCCTTTCATGTGATTTCAAACTTAGGATAGGTTATAGTGAGACAACACTGATGATGACTCAACAGCTTCATAATCCAGGAGAAAACAGCCAATGAAAGTAAATGTTGTCCAGAAGGCTCAGGTGTGATGAAGGTGTTACACACCTCATAAAGCAGTCTGCATGCTGAGGCAAAGAACCAGGCAGAGAGCAATTTTCACTGGTAACAAAGACTTCAAGAAGTAATATTTAGAAATAACATAATAGATCTTCTTAAATCTGTGAGTAATGAAAGCCACTGGAGAAAATCCTCCAGAAGACAGGTTTTAGAATATTCACCAGAACTAAAGGTGCAAGATGAACAGGAAAAAAGACATTAGACCTGAGATGACCTAATACATTGTTGAAGACACTCTGCAACTATGTATGAATATGCCACCTTGCTGACTTTTTTCCAACAGGAAATAATTACTTCAGCCACTGAGTGTCAGGCACCATCCCGGACTCTGGGGACAGTGAGATAACCCCGACAGGCACACTCCCTGTCTATATGGTGCTATTTCTCTATCAAGACTGGAACATTCTAAACAGCAACCACATCATGGAAAATTAACCTGTTTTGCTCTAATGTGAGCTAAAGTCTTGAGGCAACTCTGGGTGAGGCAATACAGCTGGATGAATGAAGGTAGCACTACCCCCTTCCCCTGTGGGGTGGGGCGAGCAGGCTACCAATTAGCTGTGTGCTCTTGTGCAAGCTACTAGATCTGGGTCTGAAGTGTTCTCCAAGAAACGGAGGCAACAGTGGCACTGTATCAGGTTGCCATATCAAAGTGCTGGAGGATGGCAGGGCTTATACAACAGAAAATTACTGTCCCACCCACAGTTTTCAAGGCAGCAGGTCCGAGACCAAGGTGTCAGTAGGGCTGGTTCCTCTGCGCCCTGTCTCCTTGGCTTGCAGATGGCTCCCTTCTGGCTGTGTCTTCACAGGGTTTCTCTCTGGGTGTCTCTGCCCTAATTTCATCTTCTTACAAGGACACCAGTCACACTGGATTAGGGCCACCCTAAAACCCTCATTTTAACTAAATTACCTCTGTAATGCCCTACACCAAATAGTCACATACTCCTCATATGTTAAGTGCTCAACATATGAATTTTGGAGGACATGATTCAGCCCCTAACAAGCACCTAAATTCAGACCATAAATACAAGGTAGAGGCAGTGCTCTATGAATGACAATAATTACTGCATTGGGGTTTTGAATATTTTTTCTCAGAGCCACACTGTACCAAGAGAGAGCCCACTGCCAGGGCCAGGTGGCCACCAGAACAGAAAGCTTGCCCGTCAGGCTTACCCAGAAAACATCATCCCATGGCAGCATGTCCTGTGGAGCTGCTGACACAGTGAGACTCAAGAGCTGGAAGTCTGGGGACAGGAGGAACCTGACCTCACTGGCATCTACATTACTTGTGACAAGAGTCGGCACCCCCATTTCTGCAGATGGGAACCAAGGCTGAAGGAGATCAAGGAACTGGCCCAACACACCTAGCCAGTGAAATGGCCCAGACTGGTGCCCAAAAAAGCCTATTTAATCCACTATAGTCAAGAAGTACAGTTCCAGTTGAGGCTGATGCTCAGCATGGTTTATCTGGCAAATGCATCATTGTTTGCAACATGATTTCTGTGCAAAACCTATCTGGGACCCTAAATTAGGGTGCCAAGAATCTACCCTAACCCCACCTTGGCCCTCCCAAACAATGGAGAATCCCTTTGATTCTAGGGAATGAAAATGGCCCCTGTATCTCTAGGTAGAAGGGCTGAGGTTTAGGGAACAAAGATTTGGGGTAAGAAATGTATTGCGAGTAGCCATGAAACCATGTGGCTGCCACCAATTGACAGCTGTGGGACCTCACAAGGAGGCCCTGCATGCGGACCAGCCAGTGGGCCTGAGCTTCTCATGGGGGCAGGAGCGGCAGTGTGGCCCAGCCAGCCAAGCCAGGGGAGGTGCCCGAGAGCCCCAAGCCTGACGGGCCGGTGGTGTCCAAGCTCCAAGTGACGTCTCTACACAGAAGGTAAATCTGTTACTGTTAAGGAAAGAGGTGATATGGGAACCTACGTTTCCCAACCTGTTCTCTGTGTGCTTTTTCTCTGCCCATCTTCTGCTTCACTTCTTCTTTCATTAAAGCCGTACCCCCTAATTCTCCCAGTTGTAACAAAAACTTGAACTCCACTATGTGTTTTTGACTCTAACAAGGGTGATTGTTTTTTTTTTTTTTTTTTNTTACAAATTTACGTATTTTCCTGGCAGGAATGGCAAATCCTCGCACCTGTTTTGCATCCTAGGCCATCTTTACCTACTGACAGGGAACAGTAACTGACTGAATCTTGGCAGGCCAGACGCCCTCATTAGTGCTTCCACTTGCCCCTCTTCCTGCCTTGTTTTGGAAACACACACCTTCCCCTCAGCCCTGTCGCCCTGACCCAGCCATGAATCCCCTGTGCAGCCTGGCTCATGGACAGAAGAACCTCCCGAGAGCACCTTCACCTACAGGCCCTCTCAGGTACAGGAGCCAGAACTGCGCAGGATGCCAGGCAGCTCCAATCCTACCTCACTGGACTTACAGAGGCGAGGCATGGGCAACAAAGTGTTTCTGCAAGATTTGGGATGACCTCAAATGTTGTGATTTTCCTCCAGTTCTCAAGGTCATCATAAAACTCAACTGCACAGAATTTTCTTGGTGTTCAGTCATTCTGGCTGGAGGTTTTGCTGCAGCGTGCTGTGGGTAAGTTGTATCAGGGATGAGAAAATCCAAAATCTTTCTAACTGCTACTATGCTGCATTAGGTGATACTAAGTATAAGTAACATCTTTTTGCAAAGTAATAACTTTCTTTACAGCCAGTTCAATAATGTATAAACTGCAACACCTTTGCACTAAGAACAAAGAAATGGAAATGGCTGTTTAAAGAAAAGATGGTATCTCACATGGCACGTGTGACTTAACTTCTCAGCGAAGCTTAGGCTCTGAGAACATCTCAGTGTCCTTCAATCTGCAGTCATAAAATTGTGGCAGTTAAGATCTAGAAGAAATCTTAAGAGATGTGCTTGCTCAATTTTTTTCAGGCTGCTG